GAACTAAAATGTTTACAGTAGATTAATTACATATTGAATTGCATATCAGAATTTTCTCATAATTTTTGGGAGTCAAAATCTATATAAACAGATGCGTTCGAATCTGTCCAGAAAACTAGTACAAAACAGTAATTTCTGAAGTATTGTTTTCTCTGGGTATAAATCCAAAAATTATCAAATCAGTATCATTAGAACCGTTTACAAGTCTAGTTTCTTACAATTTTTTTCCTTGTGTTGATTGCTCGTGTATATTAAGAGAACTATTAATTTCTTTAAAGTGTTGCAGAAAACAATTTGTTTGGGCATAATTAATTGTAAATAATTGTAAACAATACTTTGTTCAGGGCACTAGTTGGACTTTCATACTCTATTCGAGGATTATATTATTCCGTTTTCAAGTGAGTAGTTGCATGCTACATATTTTTATAAATGTTCCCCTACCCCTAAACTATTGAAAAATTAAATTATGATTTCAAGACTAAACTGTTTTGATAAATCATTATATTATCAGTGGAATTAAATTATTTCTGAAATATGTGTAAACTGTTTTGAGTTGTGTTAGTGTGCTTTAGTTTGGGATTACTTAGTTTATTATTCTTTTTGGTATGTTTGAATTAGTAGTGACGTGTAGTTTTAATACTTTGTTCAGGGTACTAATTTGACTTTCATACTCTATTCGAGGATTATATTATTCCGTTTTCAAAGGAGTAGTTGCATGTTACATATTTTTATAAATGTTACCCTACCCTGAACTATTGAAAAATTAAATTATTATTTCAAGGCTAAACTATTTTGATAAATCATTATATTATCAATGGAATTAAATTATTTTTGAAATATGTGTAAACTTGACATACTATAAACTATTTGTTATGGTCTCATGTTTATAATGGTGAACTACCATCTTTTGCGAAACTGAATTGTATTGATTATTAGGACCATCTGTATATTTTAGTTTAGGAAAACTATTTCACTGTGTGTGGTGACTTTGACCGCTAGGAAATAGATCCATATTGGACCGTGATGACTTTAGTACTCAACGATTATAAGGAAAAGACCTAAGCTAAGCTAGGTGACCTTCAATCAGATCGTCTTAAAGAAAAGGCTGAGGTTGTGTAGACACCCCATTTTCACCGACCTTAAGACTCAGACGTCACCGATTGAGCGCTTGGTGATATTGCATATTGTGCTCGTTCTGACGTTGCGGAGTCCCGGCTGCGAGCCTTGCCTTCGGACTTCTAGACTCTTTTGTGTTTTGCCTCGGTTTGCGAACCAGGCTCCGTTTTCTCTGTTTTTTCTTCCCGAAGGGAAGGAGAGGTCTCGTAGATCATCTCTCAGTGGCCGTAGGCTACGTTTCGTGGTCGTAGGCCATTTTTCCCGTTTGGAGCCCGGTTTTCGGTTTTTCGGAGCCGACGGCCGTGTGCTTCGGTTCGGGACCGCTTAACCATCTCCGATTGCTCCGGTTTTTGGCATGCATCTTATTTGCTCCCTTTTGAGGGACACTGAGGTCTGAGAGACCCACTTCGTGGTCGAATGCCACTTTCGGTGCTTAACAGGCAGTTTTCAGGGCCCCGAACTGCGCGTTCTGGCCCCCGAACATTCGTTTTGCATCGGTTTTCGTTCATTTTTGGCAGGTACCTCTGTTTCATCACCAGGAAGGCCGTAGAAGGGTGGGAGGCCAGCAATTGTTTCAGCAACCAGTTATATTCCTCCGGCGCCCTCCGACGCCCGTTTTTCTCACTTCCAAGCCAATGTTGACCACCCTAGGGTCACTTTCTTCAATCCTAACCCCCATATTTGTGTTGTACACACATGGGAGGACACCAAAAGTTGGTGGCCGGCCAGTAATTCCACCTGACCCTTTTGAACCCTTCCTAAAAATGGCCTATTCTCTCTCCTGTTTTACAGTTGACAATTTTGAACCACAGGGTTGTGTTGAGGACACTTGGGAGGACACCGATTTGGGGTGGCCGGCCATTAATTCACCTTGGCCCTTTTGACCCTTGGCCGGCCGGCCACCTGAAGCTCCAAAAACTAGCCGGCCATGATCCTTGCAATGTGTACATTACAGATGTACACTTTGAAAATTATTGGTTATTATGTTGTAATTTGTTTTAAGTGGAAAATGTCATTTATCATGTTCTTGAGAGATATGAGTATTTTAGCTGTTGAACTGTGAAACCTTCTTTTTGAAACAGATTATCTTTATCAACATTGTATGTCAATCTAGTTTCTGTGATATATATCTTATTTTGGAATTGAACCATATTTTCAAAACTGTATTTACTATCCATGTTGCTACTCACAGAGCTATCAACTAACTCAGTTGTTTATCACTCCCAGGTGTTAGAAGGATTTAGAGTAGACTTATGGTGTAACAAGGACTCAATTGCATGGACCTCTAGGACATTCATTATTTTTTTTTAGCTTGTTGTGTCGGTTTTGTGCATACATTGTGTTTGGATTTTATTTAGAATTATTTTATTTTATAGGCGGTTTGTGTTCCGTTTAGTATATATTTTTGGAAGTTGGTTATGGCTAGTTTTACTATTTATACTTGTGACATGTCACTGGATTGGGTTTTAATTTATTTATTTCTGGACTATCGTCACATTTATTCTTTGTGATTTTGGGTTCATGTTTAGGCTTACGTGTGCCATGGGTTAAAACCCTGTGGGTCACGACCGGTCATGCCCAGATTTGGGGTGTGACAATAAGTATATTAAAAATAAAAAATAAAAAGTTATAGCCAAACACTATATAAGGCAAAACTAAACATATCAAAATAATGTCATAACTAAAGAAGAAAATTGGTCACAAGAAAAGAATAAAATGGCATAACTAATGGTGCATACGGTAAGGGTAGGGGTGTAAAATTGGCCCATCGGACCCCGGTCCACCTGAAGCCCGCTCGTGATCTGGTGCAGCCCGACCCAGCTAGGCCCGGGCTCGAGCCCAGCGAAACTAGGGTTGTCTATTTTGAAGCCTGGCCCGTGAGCCTGACCGACCCACTGACGCGCCCAAAGCCCACTCTAAGGCCCAGTCCGCTCGAGACCTACTCTCATTTCCAAGCTATTTTGGTGAGAAAAAAATAAAATTTCGATGAATAAAATAAAAAAAATTAAAAAGTGGTCAGGTCCAACCCCAGGCCGAGACCCCGTGGCCCAGCCCGAGTACCCTTGGGCCTACGATTTTGAGTGAGTGGACCAGCGTGGTCCGGTCCAAGTTTTGGCAGAAGCCAACTAAGCCCGACAACGGGCCAGTCTGAGCCCAGGCTCGGATGGACCAGGCTGGACCATTTTTACATTCCTAGATAAAGGTGTTTATTGTAAAATTCTCCTTATTTTAAGATATGAATAAAATTACAGGAAAATTGAAAAACAATGTCAAATAATAATAACAAGAACTTAGAACAAGGATTAGAAACAGCGAAGATGAGACGAAAGAGAGAGGTAAAGAAATAATAAAGGAAGAGAGAACCTGTTCATCGGTGCCATATGTAGTGATCGGTGTGAAGTTGAGTTGAGTTGCAAATTGAGAACAACAATCTCTGGGGAATTTCTATTTACACTCAGACTTCCGTCTCACAATACACTCAATCAATTAATTAATTTTTTTATTTATTTCCATTTTTATACCATCGAGTAAAATTATTTCAAAAAATTAAAAAAATAAAAAATAAAAAAATTAGTGTTTGAGGTTTGTAACAAAATAAGCCTTGAATTTTTAATTTTACCAATTTAAATTATGAATTTTTAATTTGTTTACAACTTAAAATATTTACTTGTTTTCGTTAAATAAAATTGATAGAAAAAATAGTATTTTAGTCATCAAGCTCAATGAAAATAATATTTTAGACATTTTATATATACTTATATTGAGTTTAATAATTAAAATATTTTTTTTCCATTGGTTTTAGTTAATAAAAATAGGCGAATGATTTAGATTAAAAATAAATATTGATTAGGGTATAAATTGATAAAATTAAAAATTCAGAATTTATTTTGTTATAAGAGTAAAAGTTCAATTTTTATTTTTTGTAATTATTCCAATTATTTTTAAGAATAATTTATGTAGATATATATACACAGATAGAATTGAATTATTTATTTATTTATTTATTTGGTGAAATGAGATGGTAAATAGAGAACATGAGGTGAGACAATTACACCAAAACCCTAAATCAGCTTGGATCATCGGGTAGACAAGAGGATAGTGGTACAGTCAAAAATTTTGTTTAATGGGATCAAAATTCTCTATCTCTCTTCTGGTGGTGATTCAATAGATTGAGAATTTTGTTTAATGGTGGTCATGCCCCACCACAATCCCATAAAAAGTTATATTAACATTAAAAATAAAAATAAAAAACAACAACAACAACAATTTCGCTACATAGCTCGAAATATTAATGGCTCCAATGGCTCGAAATTCCAAAACGACGTTATTTTAGAATTTTTTTTTTATTCCCTTACCAGTAAGATAATATTTTCCGTACCATTCGGGCCATTCGAGCTCTCACGCCTTTTCCAAAAAAAAAAAAAAAAACCTCATTTAAAATAGTCAGTTGTCTCAAGTTGTATTCAGTCACCGTGAGCAGTATATCACCTATGTCAGACAACAAAAATAACCATTGCCTCATTACCCATCCAAACTGCCCAATAGTTAAATGTTGATTTATGCTTTGATCTTGAGTTGGATTATCTTGAGTTGGATTGTATGGTTAATATCCTCCAATCAAATTGATTCATAGGCTGTTGTAATGATTGGTTAAGTTGAATTCAAATAAAGGGTGGGCCACATGTATGTAGTAGTAGCATGCAACACCTCATTTTGAAGCATCAAGTGGGCAATTTAATTTGGGTCATAGTTGTTGGAAGAAAAAAAAAATACAAACTTGCAGTATTTATATAAATATCATTGAAAGAGAGGGTGACTTAGACAGCTTGTTTGGTTGAAACGAACATGGAGAACAAGATAATCAACATCACTGTACACTCATCAGCAAATTTATAGTAATATAATAGAAGCTTCTCTTACACCATTTTATTTTATTTTTTTATTTTCAAATATAATATAGTACATGGTCACACCATGGAGACAATTTAACTCTTAATTTGAAAGCTTGATAGGTCATTATTTGACGAGTCTATCCGGCTTTTGATCTATTCAAACCTCTCTGATGGGAAGAAATTTCGTAATCCTTTCAATCTTCGTAAAACCTCTACTTGGGCAGAGAAAATTGCCTTCACTGGTCGGTGATCAGATAACCTTGATTCTTCTCTAGCATATAGGTGTTGCTTTAACCCTTCCCCAAACCAAATTATCCGATCACACCTATAAACAAATGCCCTTGTTACTATGAATTTGTTCACGTCTTAATATTCATGGAGTTATAGTTGATGAATAGAGATCAACTTCTCTACAATTAAACTCGAGGTTAAGTCTAAATTTTTTTGATAGAAGTTGTGGGTCTCAAGAGGGGGGTGCACAAGTTCTCTAACAACCAAATTAAATTGAACCGCTAGTCAACTGGAGAGAAGCAAGACCTGATGAATAATAAAAGAAGAAACTCTCTTACAGTTCTGATTACCATGCAGGACTGCGATTCTTTTTGCTTTTTTTGCCTTCAACCCCACCATAGTATTCATCAGAATTTGGATAATACTTGTATGTAGGACCAAATTTGATTGTTCCTTCATGCCATCCTTCTAATACTTGACCATCCATTAGCTCCATGCTTAGCTTTATTTCCATGAAATTTTGATACCAAGACAAATTTAGAATGACAATAACATTTTTTCAAAGAGCTAAAAAAAATTGTTATGTTATTTGGCAAAAGAACATAAAATTATGAACTTTTGTGTTTCTAAATACCTGATCATTTTGTAGTAAAGCATTCCAATCTCCTTTATCTACTAATGCTCGGGTTGCTGATTCGGGTAGAGAGATCCTATAATTCAAGTCTCCAAGCAAAATTACTTGACTGCACTAAATCAAAGATAATTAATTAGCTGACATCACCAAGATATTTAGAGTTCTAATATTATACGTATTTATGTAATTAGCTTAATGATCCTCAAAGTAAATCTGTTTCCTCCAATCAAAACAAAAGAAAAGCTTCGTTGTTTAGAGTCAACTTGTTTAAAAGAAAGTTAAGGAACCATATTTTATGATAGTGGATGGTTTACCAAGCAAAACAAAGTAATCCACTTTTTTGAGGTAGATTAGCTACCAATTTAACTCACTAGACCATAATATTCAAGAAAAAAACCAACAACTACATGAAGATAAAATATACTAAAAAGGTGATTAACATAATCACCAAAAGTTAATTTTATACGATCAGCAATCTCAACTCAATAACGACAACTCCAATCTCATAAACACGCATTTATTGGTTTTACGCTACTAGATTATTCAGTATTTACTTGTATCTTCTTTCATGATCTATAATTAGATATTAAGGTCCACATGAAAAAACATTGATTAATGAGACTAAGCGATAACGAATCATTTTGGACGGTTTCAATGAAGACGAATATAATTTTACATACTCGTGATCTACAATCGATCTTGGCAAATCAAGTGCAGGACCTCCAGGAAAGCTTGTTCGCGACAAAATTTCAGCCATGTTGGAGTTCCTATACTTCTCATCACCGTCTCTGCCCCCTGAAGCTAGATGAGTACACACAAAGCAGAAGCTTGTTTCATGTAACCGAAATCTAACTGACACAGAACCCTGTAAATGAGACACATTTACTGAAAATGACAACAAAATAAGAAAAATTTGTATGAAATAAGATAATTTTGTTCAAATATGTCACAGGTGCACATATTGGTAACCATATCGTCAATAAGGTATAACTTCAATAACTAATGCTTAATTTTATGTGAGGCTCACATAAAATGATTATTAATGATGATAATAATGAGAAAGTAATTTATTAAAATTATAAATATAAAAATAAAAAACCTTGTATTAAAGGTGGTAAAAAAACATAAAGGTTGAGAATTATGTACCTTATTTCCTAAGCAACCCATGATGCCACAGCCTACACATGAAACACTAGGGTTCCTAATATAAGGGCAAAGATCAATTCGAACCCAAACTGATATCGATATCCCAACCATTTGCTTAGAAATGATACACCGAAACTCAAGTGGAATGCTACTTTCAATTGAATTTCCATCACTGATTTGGGTCTCTTCTAGTTTGCCTTTGTCATTTCTCTCTCGGATGCATGACTTCTTGTTTAGAGCTTCTCTGATCAAGGAATTCCATGTCATTGTGATTCTATTATTCTCTGATCCTAGGATATTCGATGCTCGTAGTGGCACAACTTCCTGAAACCTACAAAAAAAAAATAAATAAAAAAAATAAAACTATATATTAACACATTAATTGGATCATCTACATTCATCAAATTTGTAATAATTTAATTCTCCCAAGTTATCATGGATTGTCTCTCTATACGTAATTTTGGAATTAGGAATTTACCCAAAAACGTAGATGTCACAAGAAGTGCTGTTGCATGTCTCTAGCAAATCCTCCATGTTCAAGGCATCTGATGGTGCAATCCCACCAACATTCCATGTCCTAACAAAAACCCTTAAAATAAAACAGAGAATTATTTAAAATAATAATAATAATAGAAGGAATAGAATAAAAACCATATATATATGAAAATTACTCGCACAAAAAAGAAGGAAAAGGGATATAAATGGCATTATTATTATTATTATTATTATTATTATTATTATTATTATGAGGAATAATAAATGGCATTATTAGTTAACTTGGTATAGCACAGTAGCACCTGAATCTTACTTATAGTTGTGTGTCTCCCGTTGATCATTAACGGTGACGCCATTAGAGCTGAGAGATTGTTGTTCTAAGCATGGAAGCTCCAGCAAAGATTCAGAGTTGGTCGTAAAATCGGCAACAAAATTGTTGCTTCCCATTGTCTTTCTAAGGATCTTACTGGCTACCAACCTGGGCCATATGACCTTGAAGAAATTAAAGAGAAGAATAACCATGAGTATATTCAGTCATGCAATAGTAGTTATATATATAGAGTATCAATCAACAGATGAGAGAGAGAGAGAGAGAGAGACTTACTTCTCCATGCATTCTTGGCATGGTGATGGTGAAGAGGAATGGAGATACTGCTGGTGAATAATAAGATGAAAGAAGGGATGGATAATGGCCAAAGGCATAAGAAAGATATCATGCTGAGGAAGAGAGAGTGACCCTCACAAGTTGGAAGACAAGTTGCAAGGGAAGGAGCACTGCAGTGACGTCTATGATGATGGTCCTATTACTTATACTATACTACTCAGAGAGAGAGAGAGAATGAGTGCTCGCAGGGAAAACATGGATCACTCTACAGGCTACAGCCTTTGAATTTTGTGTTAGTTAAAGCTGATTGGTAGAATTATCTTATGTTTTTCAATACTAAAAAAAAATTTGGATAATTTTATTTCAGTGTATAAGAGGTTGTTTGGAATGATCTAAATAAGTATATTTTTTGTCTTTTTATGAAAAGATGTGTAGAAAAGTAGAATGGTGATGTGATGAAAAAAAGATAAAAAGATAAATTATTTTTGAGTTGCCAAACTTTACCTAAATTTACAGAAGGGGAAATATCATTTTTTCCTTAAATTTTTATATATTTTTTAATTTGGCTCCCAGAATTTGTATAATATCAATTTGTCGTCTAAGTTTTCAAAAATTTGATCAATTTAAGTCTTGCCGTCACATTCTATCTACATAAAAATAGAATTTACTGATGTGTTACCAAAGTTCATTTGGAACTTCATTTTACCCGCTAAACTATACCTCAAAAATTAATTAGCCCCAAAATATAAAAAAATTAAATTTAAATATTTAATAAATATTTTTTTATTTCAATAATGAAAAAATTAAATTTTAAATAATATATACTTTGCATATATATATATATATATATAAATCAACATTTATAATTATCTTTAGATTATGAAGTATAAGTACTTCGACAAATATATCATACTTATACTGAGTACTTATCGAATTTTGAAGAAGATTTCCCCACTCAATTTTGAAATTACTATTAGTCAATCAATTCTATTGAAATTAATTTGCGGAATAAACTAGTTACAATTGCGCTCACGCACACGTAGAGTAGCCAAGAAATTTTCGGCTCAATAGGGTTGGTTTAGGATAATCTAAATAAGTTTACTTTTTGACTTTTTGTGAAATATTGGTTGGGTATGGATTGGGTTTGCAGTAATGTGGTAGAGAGGTGATGTGACTTAAATAAGATAGTAACTTTTTGACTTTTTTATGTTATTAAAGTTTTTTCAAGATCGACTCAAGATAATTTGGGACATATAAGCACAGGTAATATAAAAAAAGTAAGGTACATATACGACTTAATATGTTTAAAAAAAATATTTACTTTTAATTTGAAGTAATATAAAAATTAATTAAATGGTTTAATTTATTAAGATCCAACATACAATTGACATTTAATGTCAAAAGTACAGATATAAGATAAATCAAAATTAAATATCATTATATTAAATAATTTATAAACTATAACTTAATTTTAAAATCATACTAAGTATAAAACTAAAAATAAAAAAGAAAACCATGGATATGGGTATGACATGTTTGTTGAAGTACCCATGATTCGTAGTCTCAAGATTATTTTAAATGAAATTTTTTATATTTTTATTATTTTTTTGCAAAATATAAATTATTTAAAATTTATTTTTTTTATTATTGAGATTAAAAAATATATATATTAAATATTTAAATTTAATTTTTTTTTATCTATTTGGGGGACTAATTGATTTTTAAGGTATAGTTTGGAAGGTAAAATGAAATTTGATATCATGTCAGCAAATTCCGTTTGATTGCAGATAAAATGTGACAACAATGGCCAAATTAATCAAAATTTTGAAAGTTTGGCTGGAAAATTGATATTATATGAAGTCTGGGGGTTCAAATTGAAAACGTGTGAAAGTTTGGAGAGCAAAATGATATTTCCTCTTAACAAAAAAGAAAATGATATACAAGTTCACATTTTAGACATATTTTCTAAACCCAATGATGTGTTGAAGATGATTGGTTTAACTTTATAAAAGAGAAAATATTATTTTGCCTGCTTAACTATCACTTAAAAATCAATTCAACCTCTATACTTTCAATTATATCAATTTTACACCTAAACTATTCAATTTTAGAGAAATTTCATCTCGCCGTCAGTTGCCATCTAATATCATATAGAATTTGCTAACGTGACGCTATACTTCATTTGAAATTATATTTTACCCCCCACATTATACCTCAAAAACCAATTAGAACCCCAAATATAAAAAAAATTAAATTTAAATATTTAATTAATAAATTCTATAAAAAAATTAAAATTAAATATTTAATTAATAAATTCTTATCTCAAATTTAAAAAAAATAAATTTTAAATAATATATACTTTGCAAAAAATAATTAAAAAATATAAAATTCTTCATTTAGAATTGTCTCTTTAAGTCTCAAATTATCTTGAGTCAATTTTGGAGAAACTAATTGAGCAAAAAATTTCTTGACTACTCAATGTGTGTGCGCGAGTGAAATTGAATAACAATTTAACACAAAAGTTACCAATTACTCTTTAAAAAATACTCAATATGACTAATGCTAAAAAAATTAAATTTTTTTCTTACTTTTTTTTAGATGGAAGATTATTATTATTTATATTAGGGATCTAATTGATTTTTGAAGGTTAGTTTAGGGGCAAAATGATATTTTAAATAAAGTTTGATATCATGTCAAGAAATGTCCTCTAATTATAGATGACAATTCACAAGTGAAATTGATTTAAAATTGAAAGTATAAAATTTATAATTAAAAGTATAGGGATTAAATTGATTTTTTTAGTGATAATTAAAAGGACAAAATGATATTCTCTTCGTATTAAAAAATAAAATTTAATTTTCCTATACGTTTATAATTAATTTTTACAGAAACCTTCACGTGTTATTTTCCCAAAAAATTTGGGGCGGGGAGCCCTTGTACGAAAGATATCTCGTCTTTTGTGCATTTATTTACGGAAAGACAAAATGATATTCTCTTCATATTAAAAAATAAAATTTAATTTTCCTATACGTTTATAATTAATTTTTACAGAAACCTTCGCGTGTTATTTTCCCAAAAAATTTGAGGCGGGGAGCCCTTGTACGAAAGATATCTCGTCTTTTGTGCATTTATTTACGGTAACACTTGGAATTCAAAAACAAATAAATAAAATCTTATCAACGACCGAGATTCGCTCAAAATTTAATATCACAACAAAAACTTTAAATTAACTTCGTAGATTTACTTTTTAAGGAAAATTTCAAATCAATATAAAATTTAAAAAATAATTATTAATTAATAATAAATTTTATCAATATTAATCATTAAAATTATAAACTTTTTTATACATATGTAATAAGTTTCTCAAATTAGTAATTTCTCTTAAGCTGTGTTTGGTCGAAGAATTTTGGAATGGATTTAAAAATAGAAAGGTAAAAAGTAAGTAAAATGTGAATAAAATATCAAAAATGTTGAAGACTCCCTTTCTCCCCACTCCCTTTGACCCCCTCTCTTTTTTGATTGGCTACTTTTTCTTTTGCTTTTTTTTTTTTTCCTTCTCTTCCAATCACCACCCGCAACGTGTGTGTGGGGTGGTGGGGGTGGTGATTGGAGGGGGTCTCTATCAATGCTCATAAAATATGCTTACATTTTATCTAGTTTCATATACTTTTTATCTTTCATTTTCTAAATTTCTTATCAAATCTTTCAATCAAATAGAACGTTAGGGGGAATTGGTCAAAACCCTCTCACAATAAAACTTTAATACATTAAGGACAAATACAAAAAAAAAAAAATTCTTGAAAAGTCCATCTAAATGGGTTCTATTTATATAGAAATGTCTTCATAACATAGTCCCATTGCGATGGCAACTTAGGAGAAGAGGGATACTGCTCGATACGCAGTGTGCTATTATAAGTATGGTATTGCCAAAGAAACATTAGTCCCGTTTGGTAGAGCTGTGGGAAAGTGATTATAACTTATAGCCTAATAGCTTATAACTTATAACTGTGAACATAAACTAATTTTTGACTTATAAATTAAACTTCTCCTCCCCACTCAAAGAATAAGTTGATTTTTGACTTACAAAAAGTTATAAACTGTATTATTAAGCTGAACCAAACATATCAAAATAGTTTAAATAAACTGAAAATAAACCCTACCAAATAGAGCCATTAGGACATCTTTTCAAGGAACATTAGAGCATCTTTTCTTTGAGTGTCCTTGGTCACAAAAAGTATGGTGGGGCACTGCTTTAGGATTGGATTTTTCATGTGGTCAATCGGTTTGTTTTCATACTTGGTGGTCGGAATGGGTTAGGAGTGTTAATGAGGATGATATTATTGTTCAATCTATTACCATTTTATGGGTAATATGGAAGCAAAGAAATAGTATAGTTTTTCAACATGAACAAATGTCATTAGATCAGACTTTATGTCTGGCAAATGAGCTTAATATGCAATGGATCAATAGTAGAAGGTTGCCTTTTGTTTTTGTAGATGGTTTGGCAGACTATAATGGTGTAATGTTAGAAGAGCATTCTTCCAATAATTGTTGTATTCTTGTTAATAATTTCTTAGAAAATTCTATTTTTCGGTTATATACTTGTGTAGTGAATGAAACTTGGAAGCATGGCAATGGGGCAGCAGGATTGGCATGGGTATGTGTTAGCACCATAAATCTGCAATTTTTATTATTATTTATTATTTATATAATTGCAGGACACGTGGCATCCTCTTATTCATTTGGAAGTTAAAAGAAGTTATAGAGATAATAGAGAATATGAAGGGCAAAGTGGATGAGTGGGAGGACAAAGTGGATGAGTGGGAGGACAAAGTGGATGAGTGGTGCCTTTTGTTTTTGTAGATGGTTTGGCAGACTATAATGGTGTAATGTTAGAAGAGCATTCTTCCAATAATTGTTGTATTCTTGTTAATAATTTCTTAGAAAATTCTATTTTTCGGTTATATGCTTGTGTAGTGAATGAAACTTGGAAGCATGGCAATGGGGCAGCAGGATTGGCATGGGTATGCTACGATGAAAATCAAAATTAGGCGTATTAGCAAGCGGTTTCCATTCGACTGTCTTCTCCATTACTTGCAGAAGTAAGGGCACTTTTGGACACTACTAAGACCACGTTTGGAAATAGGCTAATTTAGTAATTTTTTAGTTATTTGGCTAAAATATGAGCTAAAAAAAACTA